GCTCTCAGGTTTCTCTCTGGTAGGGCTAATATAGCCGTTGATAATCTTGACCAAGATAGTCTTCTTGATCTTGACGTTGTCCATGATTCCACCATGGATCTTCCGCTTTCGTTCGCGGATCCTCGCCCGAGTAACTTCGCGTCGGAGAGCGCGTACCGAGCCGGCGATCTGAGTGCCGAGCACGTGCCGAGCCCGTGGCTGGGATCGAGGAGACGAGTGCCGACCGGGACCGCGCCGTGGGATTCAGGGAGCGTACCGGTGAGGTGGCCCTCGAGGGACAAATACTAATGTAAAAGCCGCGTGCATCCGAGGGGGTTAGCTCGCGTTCTGGCATCCGCGCCGCGTTTGTTTTAATAGGCCTGTTCTTTATTACTGCACTACTGAACTAGTGCAATAAGTTAAAATGAAACAAATAGATTACCTCTCATTCCAACTCATTGCACCAGTGTGCACTAGTTCAGGAGTGCAGCAATAAAAAACAGACCCAATGTTTCGGGCCAGCGGGCGTCCGCTCCAAGGGGGAGTCGGCGCCGGCCATTTCGTGTTGCGAAGGAGCGGCGGTGCCAAGCGCGGGAACTCTCGGGGAACGGCCGTGAGGTTATCGGGCGACCGGAGCGGTCGGGTATCGGTTGGTGCGACCTCGGAGGGGAGCGTTGAACGGACGCCCCGTGCGCCGTTGTTTGAGCGGGAGCCCTTTGGCCCGCACCGGGGGAAATTCTGTCGCGGCGGACCGGCACGCCGGGTGTCGGCCGCGAATCACGTGCCCCGCGCGCGGACAGCCTCCCGCGGGGAGGCTAGGGATCGACGGATCGCGAGTTCGCCTCGGCGGAGGCCCCTTTTCTTCTCTGTACCCGAAATATTAAACTGTCCATTCTACCATGGTGGAAATACACATAAGGTGTGCTCTTGCGCATCGTTTTGAACAGCCAATGAGAAGTTGCTCCCAACGGTGTCCATATCGTGGCGGTTAAATCAAATCGAGCGTTCTATAAGCAGTTATAAAGTCATATATCTAGTGCATTTATTGTGTGGAAATATAAAGAGCAAAGAGTAATATGTATTTTATACGTTTTCGCGCAACGATTATTTTTTAATTTCAGTTTCCATATATATTTATTGACAAAGTATATTTTTTAAATGTAGGAGTCTAGTGTCCATTCTATGGGTTGCTATAGCAACCCATAAATATAGACAATATAGACACCGTTGCAGATTCCCAGGTATCGATATATCGACTTAAAATGGAGACGCTTGGGAGCTGCGCAGAACCGGACGAAAATTGGTATCGGTAACGAGCACACCTTATGTATTTCCACCATGCATTCTACTTTCTTAACCCGCGTCGATATTCTTTTTGTGTGTTCGTCTGTGAGTGTGCGTGTGTCGCGCCCCGTCCCGCCGTCCCGTTCCCACGGGCCCGTCATGGAGCTAGTTTACACCGTGCGACCTGATCGCGACCTGACCTATGCCCTGACCTAAAATAGGCTTCTAAACAAAACGTTTACACCATGTAGACCTATGATACTTTTGGGTCGAATATAGGTAAAAATTTAGTCTTCATAGCCATCTTCATACATAAGCAATATCGTTTGTACTTTGTTTCGTGGGATGACGTGTAGCTCTGTGCTAACACGATTGATTAGTAATGGTTGGTAATGAATTGAATGGTAGGGTCCTTGGTTCGATCCCGGCCCTCGTCCCGCATATTTTTCCGTTAAGGAAAATTTTAAAAATTTAGCGTTTGAAGGAGTTTAAGCGCCCTAGTGTTGGATCCAGTGTTTAATCAAGATTAAGCACAAATTTCAACAAATTTTTCGAAATATCACGCTCATATAATCTAACGGTTGAAAGGCGTTTCTACAAAAGGGTAAACTGGAAGAAAAAAAAACTTTGTTTCGTGTCGATCGTGTCTGTTTGCTGTGTTTGCTGAAGCAATATATTTGATTAATTTTCATCAGAATGAATTCGTTACATCAGTACACAGGACGTTTTAAAAATATGATACAAATGATGGTAATCGGAAATAATAAACGACAAACTGCAAGATTATTGAAAATTATACACAGAAGACAGCAAGTATGGAAAAGAATTTATTTGCAAATTAAAAGATTCCGGGATCTGACTATGAATGTACATCAAATGTTGCTACCACCTATGAATCTTGCGGAATTCTGCTTTGTCTCGAATAGACGTCTTTGGATGAAACGTAGAAGTTATCACTTTTGGGATGACATCGTTTTGAATACATATGATGATGCACAGTGGCTTGAAAGTTTTAGAATGCGCAAAGATACATTTAATAAATTATGTGATATTCTTAAAAAAGAATTAGAACCGAAACCTATTTTTTTAAAGTCTAGAGAACCACTCTCGGTGCAAAAACAAGTGGCTATTGCTTTATACAAATTGGCAAGTTGTGCAGAGTATCGAGTAGTCGGAAATATTTTTGGTATCCACAAATCTACGGTGAAGAAATGTTTATATAAAGTTGTGAATGCCATCAATAACGTGATGATGGTAGATTACTTACATATGCCGAACGAATTCGAAGCTGTTGAAATAGCAAATAATTTTGAAAAGAGATGTCACATACCCCAAATTATTGGTTGCATTGACGGATCGCACATACCGATTCTGGCTCCTGCTGACGGCTATAGAGATTATGTGAATCGAAAGGGCTGGCCTTTATACAATCTCCAAGCAGTTGTTGATGACAAATGCAGGTATGCAAGCAATACATACTATTTTTATGTAATCATGTTTATAAACCATTAATGTTATTCATATTTTACATTTATAGATTTAGAGATATTTGCATCCGACATCCGGGGAATACTCACGACGCTGCTGTGTTCAAAGACTCTAATTTGTATAAAAATGTACATACACTAATTCCACAGGTATGAAAAACATTCAACTTATTGAAGTAGTCTATTTTTCATGGATATCGGGTGAAAGTTTGTTCCCATACATGTTCCGGATCGAAAATGCGAATAAATTTATTTAATGTTGAACAATTGTAAGGAATATGTTCCAATTACTTTATTAATAATTCTTGCAGTTAAGCAAAAATATTGATAGTATGGAAGTGCCATATATGATTATTGGAGATCCAGCGTATCCGCTGTTATCATGGCTAATAAAAGGCTACCCTGGTTCAGTGACTCCCGAACAAGATTCTTTTAATGTTTACTTAAATTCAGCTAGGGTTGTTGTAGAAATGGCTTTTGGCAGATTGCGAGGACGCTGGAGAATTCTTCTGAAGAGACTAGATGTATCACATACATTTGTTCCGAATATAACCAGCGCGTGCTGCATTCTACAAAACTTTTTAGAATACACAAATGAACACTTCGTGCAGCAATGGTTTGAACATGTGGCTGATGCAGAAATACTGTTTCCACAACCAGGACATGTAGTTAACCGTGAACGCAACAATATTTTGGGTCCAGACATTCGACAGCATTTGACAACATACTTATCGCAAAATTTTCCTTTACGCCGAAGTATGCTGAGATAGCTATTATTTTATAAGAATAAAAAATATTATATTACAAATACATTGTTTTAGTAAGTCAGTCAATCTTATAATTTTAATAAAATTAGATATAGTACATTTATCATTATGTTGGT